TTCTCCAAATTGCCCTCCAATTACAATCCGGCTCCTCATGCCAATTCATCCATAGGAAATGAGGCACTGGTGTATAAACTGAGAGTCCAGCTCTCTTGATGGTTTTATTACAGATTATAAAATCAAAGATTGACATTTTATGTCTTTGAAAAATTAAGATTTCCTATATCATGTATATAATTGGAAAAACAGCAGACTGTCCGCTGATGGAATTTCAGTCTCACTTTTCCACTGTTCTTTCTGCCAATATGACCTAGTATAAAGTCATAATAAAGAATTAAATGTTCTTGCTTGTGAATTATAGGATATACACACTTAAAAAAACAACCCAAATGTCAATAAGAGATCTTATTTACTAAGCTTTAATAAATATAATCAGTAAAATGTCTCACAAAGTTTAGAACTTGAAAAGTACATAGTACATATTTTCAACTCAGTACAATACGAAAACCAGTTCCTTTAAATATCCCTTACTTACTTTCCTCTGCTTGAGGAAATTAATCTACTACAATGGAAGAAATTCTATAGCTACAGAAAATCATCTATAGCTAATTTATAGATGGCAAAAGGTAGCTCTGCAAAATTTTTGGGGACATTCAGATATTTTTCTTTTTAAATTTATATGGTTTTAAAAAGTCACCCCACTACACTTAGCTGTATACTATCTAACTGAGGAGTATTCATTAGCAGCCTAGTCCATGCACAGCCAGGTGCAGAACCCAGCGCCCCTGGATTCCAGCCTCTGTGGCTCCTCAGTGTAGGCCACTCTCAACACCACTCCACCCACTGTCCGTGACACTGAGCCCCGGATGGAACAGAAGCTTGTGAGCTTGAGACCACACATCACAGGCCACGCACACACCACATGCTTAGTTCCTGGGATTGCTGGGCCATTTTCTTGTTCTCTCAGCACAAACCATACATGTCCTGGTGCTCGCCTGCCCATGCAGAGAAACTCTCTGTGTCTCTATCTACAGCTGCACACCTGCCTCGCTCCGTCCTCTGTTCTCTTTTCTGTTCTGTCCCCTTCTTTGTTCATACTATGCTGTCTCCCTGGGAAAGGTTTCAGTGTAGTTGTGATGGATTCCAAAGGCCCTGTGAGCTGCCCACGGTCCATCGGAACATGTTGCTTCATGCGGGACAAACTGCACATCCCTAACTTGGAGGGGTCGCAGAAATGTAATTATTTTTTGTCATCCCATGTGGAAGTAGGACTTTTCTGCTTAGAACACATATTTAATTGTTTATGAATAATTTATTCATGTATGCCTTGTTGGAATCGACATACTAACTTATTTGTTCATTGTTTAAATGTAACATATCCTAAGTGTTCCAAAAATATTAGAATCACTTTTATTCTTTCTAGTATCTAAGATTTGGATTCTGTATTTATTTTACTTTCTAAAAGGAAGTGTGGTCACTGTTGATTTAGTATGCATGTTTTGAACATATAACTTTATATTTTTAAAAATACAATTTGATTAATAGTAAACTCTTAAAATGTCTTTCTATGATAAATCAGTTTTTAAAACATCTCAAAAAATAAAACAAGGAAAACCTTTAGAAGAGGCTGCCCTCGAATATACTGGATCTTCTGTTTAATGAAGAAAGAAGTCATGGAAAAATCGCAGCAGAGGGGATCAGATGGGGAAAGTAAATATTTTTAATGCAAAACCTAAAAGAATATTTATTATCCTAAAAAGCTTTAGTTGCTTTTCCAAGGTCAGAAGCAAGATTAAAAGAGCTCTCACACAGGATTGCTCAGCTGTGCTGTTATACTTCCTTATTTTCTCATTGATTCTTCCTATGTAGCATATTTACATTGAAAGAGAAATATTTAATTTTGTGTTAAGTTACATATTTATAGACTTATTAATTTTGTGTTTATGTTTCTCTGCTGTTTTACTCCGAATTCCTTGCGACAGTGTCTATCTCAGTCCTTTGGGTACTTTAGCACACATCAGTCACCAGGACAAAGCAGGTATTCAGCAGACGAAACTTTTTAACATATATTTATATCCAGGACCTCAGAGGGTTTTTTAAAATTAAGAAATATCAAAGAAACAACGACAAACAAGGGAGACATTCTGTCCTCAAAAATAATTTTTTTCACTCTATTTACACTGTAGTTGACTGAAATTCACCCAAATTTGAATTACATGTTTTTCAATGAAAATGCAGAATTCGTCATGATGTAGTTCATCGTTACTCCATAAAGGACTTCGTTCCGTAAACACATGCATCCATAACTTGTTAGCAAGGAATTAAACGTCTGCACTACGCCTAAGTAGAGCAGACGTCCTGCCCCTGAGGGGACGGACAGACTGGCTCCTGACGGCCCTGCGCCGTGGTCAGCGTCCGCCGCGCAAAAGCGGGGCCTCTCCGGGGACACCACCGCGGCCCTAGCGCAAGGACCCCAACATCGCCACTGCCTTCCGGACCAGGACGCTCGGCACTCCTAGCCTGCGAGGGCTCCGACCCGCCCGCGGTGGCCTGCACACTGCCCAGCCTGCCCAGAGCGCAGGAGCCGCGCTTTCCAGGGCGGGGTCACTCGGCTCCATCCCCGTTTCTGAGCTGGCAAAGAGCCCTCCTGTCCCCAGGCAGGCCTGGAGAGTCCCCACCCTGGCTAGGCCGGAGGCTGAGGCGTCTTTTCCCCTTGCCTGTGCTCCTCCGGGAACTTCAGCCAGCCTAAGGCTTTCCTGGTAGCAGGCGGTCACCGGCTTCACATTCTTCTTCTTCTTCTTTTTTTTTTTTCTCCATAATTTTATTGAGAAACAAATAGCAATGAGACAGTTTTAAACCAAATTGGTAGGACAGTTTCAATAATTAACAAATTGCCTACATTCTTCCTAGCGGTTATTTGCTGTACAAGCAGACATGATATCTTATTTACAAACACCATTAGAACAAATCCCTCTATTCATTAAGAGAATGTAACTATATATCTATCCTAACCATTTTGAATACACAGATACAAAATGGACATTCATCTGTATCCCCTTTTTTGTCTAGTTCTGTTATTTGAATATTATAGGTATGTTAACTCAGCAAAATATACTAAAAGAGTCCAGTAGTCCATAATAGTATTGGGTCTTCCGCTTCACTGGCAGTGTCAGAAATTGTTGACCTGAGACCTCTACAGCTCAACATAACAGCATGGTTTTACTTCTTATACTTCATTTTTATACTTTTCTACTGAATGGTTTAGACCAAGATAAAGCAGTACCTATGCAACAAGAGTTGTAGCTTTTGGGTCTGATAAGGTCAGTGAAATCCCCTCAGGATTTATCCTGAGACCCTGTACCTCAGATTGTAGAACCTTTGTCAGTGTCAGCCATGTGGATGAGTCACGGCCATTGCTTGGCCAATGTGCTCTCTGTGAAAGCCTGAGAGAATGTTTTCTCTCCATGTGACTCTCCTTAGGCACACTCTACATCATCGATCACTTTCCTCTTTGGCCCCATAATCTCCTTGATCAGAAAATTTGGGACACTACCGAGTTACATGACGTTACAGTACAAGTTCTCATATGTTCTGAGTCTTAATAGACCTTGGAAGGCTAGGGCCAAAATGTTGGCTTTCCTTCACATTCTTTTCTCCCCCAAAGACTTTCTTGCTCTGCGGTTCGGGCTGGCCTCGAGCTCAGGGCAGCCCAGCCTGGGCTCTCACCCAAGATGGTCCTCCTTCCTCAGCCTGCCTCAGCCTACCATAGGCACGAGCCCATAACCTACATTGTTGATTTATTACACATGCAGCTCTACACTCTTGATTTACTAAAGAAATTCCTGGAATACACGGCCTCACTGTTTCTTCTGATATATACAGGTCTGCTGACCTCTGCGTAGACAGGAAGATTCCAGTATCCTTTTCCTTTTGAATATTTGTTTCTCTAGTACACATTTGCAAACACTTCACCTCCTTCGGGGGAGTGGGCCCATGTCCCTGGCATGCCCCTCGTCCCCTAATGAAGTCCGCACTGACAGGAGCTTCTCCTGGGCCATGACTTTTGATTTGATGGAAACTGGGAAAGGGCTTCTATTACCTCTGGACGAGGGAATCAGAAAGCCCAAAATATTCTTTAAGGTCACAAATTTGTATCTGCGGATTTATTGGTGGGGTCTCAGTGGTTATGGGGTCTGCTGTGCCCTAGATGGAGGAGCCCGGGAGGTACAGGCTAAGTCCTTCTCAGGCCTTGAGCTGAGGTTTCTAGGCATCTAGAAGAGCTGTGTTCAGCACACTACCGTGCACAAGAGAGACAGACATCCGAAGCCCACAAGGACGCTGGGTGTAGGGTGGCCGCGAAGGCAGAACCTTCGGTAGGCTGCTATGGACGCAGCCTCTGTCCGACAAATCAAGCCAGGACATCTTAGAAGAAACTGGATTTTTTAAAAAGGCTTAAGATAATTGTGTAAAGGGGCTGGCAAGATAGCTCAGTAGAATAAGTGCTTGCCTGGCAAGCACAAGGTCCTGAGTTCAATCCACGGTACCACCAAGAAGAAAAAAATAAAAGATAATTGTATCAAAGTAAGTACACTACTCTGCTGGCATCATGTGAGATCATATGTAATTTGCGCAGAGCAAGAGAAAGGCCAAGGAGTTAGGAGTCAACAGCTGACCATGGAGAGTGTTACGGTGCTGAGGGTGGCATGAACGGAGCACACGGGGCAGGCTGAGACCCCCGCGTCTCTTGTACAGCCATGGGGCCTGGAGAATGACTGGCTGAACTTTCTGCAGGGAAGTTCTTGGAAGGCACTTACTCTATGCTTTCAACCAAGAAGAAGAGTGACCTGAGTGATTTGTCTCCCTCAGATCCATGGGAGAACTGAGGTCCACAGGCTAAGCAGTGCCTCAAATCTGAAGAGACGGAGACAGCGCCTTTGGGGTCAGAGGAGGGCTGAGCGCCACGTGGCTGGAGCAGAGCCCTGGGGACAGTGAACCTGGAGAATGGTCAGAGGCTGCGGGTGCTCAGCACAGACGAGACGCTCCCAGGCACCATGGCAGTGCTGTATGAAAGGAAAGAAGGTTAGCATTCCCCTTGCCAAGGACAGAAGAGGCCCGCGGGCCTGACAACACCCACACAGTCAAGGCATTGCCACCCACTTCATGTCGTCTAACCACTTCCTTGCAGCCCAGTGGGTTCCCAGGTTGGGGGCTCAGGATTCTCTCAGGTGTGAGATGGGACTGGAGAGGCCAGGACCCTGGGGAGTAAGCACCCTGGAGCCGGCTCCAGGGAGAAACCGAGTTCGCACAGCACAGCTCTGAGTTTGTACTCCAGCTGAGACTGGGTCACTCCTCCCCTCCCTTTACAGCTCACTTCAGGGCAGGGAGAGGGAATAATAAAGTTTCAGGCATTTAAAGGAATCAACTGGGATTGCTGTAAGTAGGGAAGAGAACTGGAATCCAGGGGAGGTTGATGCCACGGTCATGAGAGCAGTCCACTAAGGCGGAGGCTTAGTTCTGAGCCGGTCCAGCGCAGCACCAGGCAGCACGGCAATCTCAGGAAAAGAGGCACCGGACATCCTCTGCCTTTCACTCTTCATGTGAAGAGTGAAGCAGAAATTGCCAGGAGAATTTAAAGCAAGCATGAGTTACATACTGTGTTCTAATGAAATAGCTACAAGTACTGGCACTTGGAACAGACAGGTGGGAACCACAAAAACCAGAAGCAGATTCTAGAAGTACAAATCACCATCACAGAAGGAAAGCTGGCCACTGTGCATGCACCAGTAAAGCAATACAGCAGAGACGGACTGGAAGGTGGTTCAGTAGGACCTGCGAACTGAGAAGCAACAGGAAAGTATGGGAACAAGCAAGCAGCGAGGGCAGGGAAGTCTGTGAGAGACTTCAAAAGAAAGAGCATGCATTCAGTTGAAATGCCAGAAGGATTAGGAAGAGAACAGGGCAAAATAGATACATGGTTGAGGATTTCCTAAAATTATAAGGGGTACTGCAGCACCTACCAGGAGCCCAGCTCAGGGAGGAATCCATAAAGAAAACACAGCTCTAATGCGCTGTTTTCCAGCTGAATAAGCCGAAGCCAAAGCAAAAATCTTGAAAGAATCCAGAGGAATATTTCTTTAACCTAGGTAGGAACAAAGATCCCAGCTACATCTTTCCCATCAGAAGCCTTCAAAGCAGCAGAGAATATAATACTCAATACGTGAAGAGAACCGTAGTTAGCATGCTGTATGCCGAGAAGGGGCCTCCGAGATTGAAGGATAAAAATTTTATCAGTCAAATAAAAACTAAAATAATTCACTTCCCACACACATGCCCTACAAGAAATGTTAAAAGAATTTCTTCAGGCTGGAGAAAATTATTTAGGTCAGCAACTTGGGTCTACGCAGAGAGTTGAAGAGAAAGTGGGCGGAGGAAGATGAAGACCCATGCTACCCTTTTGGTCCAGATCCCTTCCCCATTTGCTGCATCCTGTGGGGTTCTGGGGAGTCGATGAAATCACGGGGTGCTCTGCGGGTCAGCAGATGCACCCGCAGATGTGCTCTGGCCTGGCGCAGCGGCTCACTGCAGGTGCGAGCCCGCAGGGTGCGCTTCTGCGTGCAGCACCCCCTTTCCCTCCTGGCCTTCCCGAAAAGGGCTCCATTTCTCTGCCATCCCTCACCACGCTGCCCTTGGAGCCATGGATAGTCCCCCCGAAACTGTGAGCCAAACTGAGCCTCGCTTTCTTAAATTGGGGGTGTTAGAACGTGTCCCAGCAGTGGGGCAGCTGCTTGATACAGCATTTTTAAATTGCTCTAAAACAGAATCAAAGACGCAACAGCACAGCATGCGGGTGACAGAAGCAGATCGCAGCGCGGCGCTCGGAGCCTCCCCCTTGCTACGAGCAGGGCAGGGAGGACAGAAACCCTGTGAGGTGGAGTGCAGACTGCGACACTACGTACTGCAGACTAGGTAGGAGGACGCCAGGTACAGTGCATACAGCAAGGGCAGAAGCAAAAGGCGTCGGGGAAGGGCTCAGCGAAAGCCACGAGGATGGGGGTCCCCTAAGCGGGACAGCCGAGACGCCGCGCAGGGGCTTGGTCACCAGCGACCTCAACCCTGCGCGGTGTTTGATGTAGGTAGCCCGGACCTCTGACGATGTGGCCACTCAAGTGGACGGATGCTGAAGGAGAAAAGCACCAAGCCTGAGGTGTGCAAGGCGGCGAGGCAGCGAGAAGCCCCTGGCTGAGCGGCCTTCATGTATTTGGTACAGGGTCTCGCTGCGCGGCTCGGGCTCCTATGCGCCGTCCCCAGCGCTGCGATGGCAGGCGTGCGCCACCTCGCCGGTCTCGTCGTGGCTGTCCCGCTCGCCTGCTGCGCCACCTCGGGAGGAACCGGGCTGCCCGAGGGCACAGCTGGCAGAGCACAGCCCAGCGTCGGCCCTGCGCCTCCCAGAGGATGGCAGGAGCTGCCCAGGCGGAGAGGAGACGCCAGGCCACTCGGAGCCTGCGGGCCCGAGGCTGCGGCTGCGGCCCGCTCAGGGGCCCGTTCCACCCCTGGAGGAGAAAGACGCACGCAGGGGCGCCGACTGCCCACACCGAACGTCAGCATCCTGCCCCGCGTGGAAAGGATGCCCCAGCCCTGCCACCACTTGTTTCCAGAGAGCGCCCCTGTTACTTGAAGTCCTCATCTGACAGAGCAGTTCGTTTCACCGAGGGACACACTGAGATAGCTCAAGCCTGTCTTCCCTGCAAGGAACAAGAGCTGCAGAAGTCAAAGAGAGGAAATCAAAGTAAGACAAAAGCGCAAGGAACAGCAAACTCAGACACAGCGCACTGATTCCTCTGTGTCAATAATGACAGTCGGTGTGAATGATCAAGTAAACCACAGACAGTCCTTTAAACCGCAAGACCCAGCTCCATTGAGCACAATGAATGCTACAAATACAAACGCTAAGCTAAGTTAAGGTCCTAACGGCATAGGAAGTTCTGGCATGCTGACACAAATCAAAAGAAAGCTAGAGTAGCTCGGCTAACATCCACACGAAAGGATCGTAAGGAATACTGTTGACCCTAAGCGAGGCAGAACTGGTCAGGCGTGGAGGTGCAGCCTTGTGAGCCGAGCGCTGCGGAGCCTGAGGCAGCAGGGTCACTCCAAGGAAGCCGGGACCACACAGTGAGAACATGCCTCGAAATAAATAAATAAATAAATAGACAAAGAAAGAGACAGAGATAAGAGCCGTCAACTCTTTAAGGGCCCACGACAATCCTGAACAGCCGTGCACTTTAAAAAGAGAGAGAGCCACCAGAGCGTGGCCAGACTGCGTAGAGAAGGGTCCGTGGCCAGAGCCTAGCGGCCAGAGCGTCACTGATGTGAAGAAAGGCACAATATCTCAGAAACGGGACTTGAAACACGCAAACATTTAGACCATCTACCTCAAGATATGGAGAAAATGGGAGCTTCCGACAACATGTAGGAGCAGCCGGGATGGCCCGAGTGCGGCTCTGCTCTCCGAACAGGGCCGCCCCCGCTGCTGCGCAGAGCAGGGTGGGCCAAGCCCGGGAACAGCGATGACCGGCTGTGCCACAACACCCAGGATAATGATTGCGTGTCATTTGTTCCAAGGGATTTCAGAGACAATAAGAAACAAAACTGCCCCCGTAGTTTTGAAAAATAATTTAAATGTCCATTGGATTTAATTGAGACAGTTCACATGGCCATCCACTTAGCACGATAGCGACAGCCACATGCAGGTGGTTCTCTCCCTCCTCTACTGGACATCTTGTCTACCTGAAGTAAGGTACTGTCTGAGACCTTTGCCTAGGAATCAGAAAAAGAAAAGCGCCTGCCTGGCAAGCACAAGGTCATGAGTTCAATCCCCAGTCGCGGGGAAAAAAGAGAAAAAGAAAAAGAAAATGACACACAGACACTGATGCTTCTGCAGTATATGTGCATAATATTCACCTCAAAACCACAAGGCAAACCCTCAATAAGGAATAGTAAGCAGCAAGGGGACACAACAGATCAGGGAGTTTTGGGACAAATGCCAGCACCTCAAGGATCTGGGCACGTCAAGCCTAGCACATGTGCGAGAGAGCTAAAGTTGAAAGTGCTTTTCTTTAAGGAAACACAATATAACTGATGTATTTAAACAAACACTTTTTTTTTTTTTGTATTTTAGGGAAAGGCCTACAGGATGTTCAAGGTCTCACTATTAGACTGTACTCATTGCTTGTCTACAGCCTCCCAAGAACTAGGATTACAGGCGCACGCCACCACGCCCAGCCTCAATGGCTGTCTCAGTGCACCCCTAGGTGGGGCCGGCACAGCAGGTGGGGGCAGGGGATCGAACCCCTACCCTCGGAACCTGCTGGCAGTCACTGTAATCCACTGAGCTATTTAGCTGGCCCTATTTTTTTTTTTTAAGTCAGGGTCTAGTTATGCAGTTCAGGCTGGCCTTGAGCTTACTTTGTAACCCAAGCTGGTCTCAAACTCTTAACAGTCCTCCTGCCTTAGCCTCCTGCGTACTGAGATTACAGGCCCATGTCACCACACCTGTCTAAAATATTTTTAAAGAGAAACTACTAAGAAACTTTGGGCCAGTGGGCATGCAGGGCTCCCAGCTGCTCTGGCCGCACAGGGCTGGTGGCTCCACACTGAACATTCAGCTGCAGTCAGCAGGAGGCCAAAAACAGGCCCAACCTGTGTCCGCAGGTTGAGGAGAGGATAGGGGCGCTGCAGCCTGCGTTCTGAAGGCTGGGGACCCATCATCCATCAGAGTGCAGCAGGGACACGAGCCTAGTATCTGCTCCCTGCCTGCAGGCCAGGAGCCTGGCCTTGGCCAGCCACGGCCTGGCATGCTCGCCATCAGCGGCTGGGAGCCAGCCCCGCAGCGGGACAGCGCTTCCCTGCTGCACTCAGTGAGGTGCTCCAGGTGTGCATCTGCTTTAAAAGGTGTATGCACAGGCGTGCACACACAATCACACGCATGCTTGAACGAATGCCTACGCACCTCATGGCTCAGCCATGTGGACACCCAAGTGAGCCATCACTGAAGCTGCAAAACACTAACTGCTCCATCTCTCCTCTCCATTGAACATAAGTCAAAGCCTCTAGGAATAAAGCCAAGACACAAAACTCAGAAAGTCAATGATAGAAATGAACAGAACAGCTTTGAATGGCAGGCACA